CCCTGCTGTGAGGCTGATTTGAGATGAGCGCAGTGAAGAAGGAAGGAGCCAAGCAGGCTTTGATTTGGTCCTCTCCAGCCCAGGGGCCTTGAGGCTGGGACTGTGAGACGCTGATCTCTGGGTGTGTCCCAGCAGACTCCTGGCGGTGGAGAGAACAGGCTGGGCTGTGGAGCTGGGGGTGTTCAGGTATCAGCTGCCTAGAGCCAAATTGAGATGTAGGAGTCATCAAAATTTCCTAGATGAATATTGAAGAGGGCATTTGCGGGTGCTGTGTGGGAAATCAACAGCTGACAATAGACTACTAACCAGGAGAAGGTACATCCTGACCTGCACGTTCTCTCTGCAGCAGTCACACACTCAATCTGAAAAAAATGCCACTATGGATTCACTCTGTAGAGAGAATCAAACATCAGCGCAAAGTTAATGGCAGTGAACTTCATTTATGCTTTAGTTCTCCAGAGCTGTGATGGATATTTTGACTGGGGACTGCTACAGTAACTGTTCCGCCCACAGATATCAGGGTAATGACCTGATTTTGCCCCCTGGCATTTAGAAGATTTGTTTGTCACTGAGTTTCGCAAATGTCACCCTGTTTAGGCAGTTACAGGAAGCTCCATTAGGACTTGGTAACCTTCACATAATGCAGTGGGGAAGGCAAAAAGCTCCCTGAGACCATCAGCCTAGGAGCTCATCAGAAAAATACCTCACACAATTGCGGTAATCCCCTAAACTATTGTTGTGTTGGGTTTGTGGAGTTTGAGCAGACTCTCTCTCCCTTGTCTTTCAGTCTGTGCTAATCGTGACTGATTCCCTCTGTCTATAGCACCAACGCCAGGGCTGGTGAATCAGGTACATAAGCCTAAGCCGCTTGGAGAGGTGCTGTTCTTAAACTCTAGCCAGCTGCTGGAATTTTTCTTCCCCCTCTTATTGTTAATTGGGGAGTCTTGAGTCTTTCCCAGCAGTTGATTTGCAAGAGAAAGAAGAAAAGGAGCAAGAGATTATTTCACAGGAGGAGAGGAGCTTTGAAGTGTTTTGTGATTTCACTGTATGTCCTCCACTCCTCTCCACCTTGTTCACTCTCCATGTGCTACCCAGCCAAAACCTGTTTATGCCACCGACAACTCTGCTTTGCAAAGTTCGAAGGTGGAACACAGTGTATGTCTGGGTTTGGCTCAGAGGTACAACAATGCCTCCTCTGATGTTTAGGCTTTTAGGAAAGGCAGCAATGTGGGGGAAAGCGTGGCACTGTGCTGTGGCCCTTTGTGCACCCATGAAACATACGTCCCAGCTTTAGAGACTCTGAGTTCAGGCTGGAGGGCAGATCAGATGTATGAGAGTGGAGGGCAGATTGGCATGTGGAGGAACAGCAATCCTTGTTCTTAAGATCAATCTCTAGAAATACCTTCAAGAACAACAATACAAGGGTTTGTTGCATTTTTCATTTTCTTGAATTGGCTGGGCACCCTTAACCTTAGCCCCCTTTGCCCCAGAGCCTGACTCTCAGAAGAACTGGCCTCACTCCATAGCTCATTATCTCTTTATCTCATTATCCATTTCATTTTGTCATTGCATCTATGCTCTCTTTTATACTGCCATATTAAAGGCCATGCATAGGATTTTCTCTGAAGGCATTCGAACCACAATTTTACAATACAGACCCCAGACAAGGGGAAAAAGGGAGAAACCTGGGTTTTAGTATTTAATGAGTGGCTTGCTGAGGGTGGAAGATGGATAGAAAGAAAGTGAGGGAGAGCAAGTGCATTTGCAGAGGGTTAGAGAGAGAGCGAGGGGAGAAAGAGTAGTAAGGGAGGAAGAATGCAGGAATGGAGCACAAGGTGCCATTATAGTGGCAGAGAAAGCTCCTGAAATACTAGAGCTGGGGCGTGTGCTCTGATCAGGACGGCAGTGAGCACAATTACCTTCTTTTCAAATCCTTCAGTGACACTGCAGGAGGAAGGAGGACTTTGAAACTTGAAAGGCAGGAGCTCGCTTTCAACCTCAAACGCGAGCAGGAAAGGGCTCTGAAATTTGTTCAGTGCTCCCCATCCACCGTTAGCTTGTTTCTTCCTCTCGCCTCCAGGCATTTAAGCTCTTTTTGAAAAGATGTTAAGAAATTCAATCACCATAGAGAGAGAGCGGGATAGTTCTTTTTTCTGTTTTTTTTGAGAGGCATGCTTTCCTCTGGTCCACTGAGGACCGGCCTGCTGCTTTTGTGTTGGACTGAATAGACCTGCAAACTGGTAGAGGACTGGATGTGGCAACCATGGGAAAAGAGAGGGAAATAAAAGAGGAATGAAAAATGAGGGAGGGAAAAAGGGAAGGGTTCTGTTGGGTGGATGGTCAGAGTTACACAAGTGTTGCATGGTTGAACTTTTCAAAGTTGCATATGTTTACCCTTGTCTGCTCTGTCTTCATTAGCCCATGTTCGACAGGTACCTGACATGGTACAAAGATATAAAAAGTTTCCAGCAGCAGGTACAAGCAGCACAGAAGATAAACCTTAAGACTTCGGGCTCTCTTCCACCACAGTCTGAGGAATCAGTTGACCCTTGTGCTGCTGAGTGTTTGTTTATCCATTTAAGGTGCTATGAGCTAAAGTAATGAAGCCCCTTAAGGTGGTATATGGTAGAATGATTGACCCCCTGGTGGGCTTCCCATGTTGACTGCAGGGGGATTGTGAGACTGTGACACTGCTGTGATTGAACTATTAGTCGCTTGACCGCCCTTGGAGGAGAGAGAAGTATCTGAATAGCATTTGGGGTCAAAGTGTAGCGGTTAAAAAAAGAAAGGACAAGAAGAGGAAATATGAGGGAAGAGTGTGAAGAACATAAAATAGTGAAAAAGTTCATAGTATATTTTTTAAAGTAAGCAGTTGAATCTCCGTTGTAGTTTTTGTAAAGTTGGCAGAAGATGTTTTAGTGCCCAGTGGTCTGCTAGTGATGCATCTACTTATAAAACATTAAGCATCTGCATGAAAGTAAGAAAATGAGTTCATAAATATGTAGACACTTTTTACTTTCCCATATGTAATGCTTCTGGATGTGAACACGAAGAGCAAACCTTGTGTTACACGCAGTACCCTGAGTAATGCTGGGTCCCAGCACAGTTTACAGTCTCGACTTCCTTCAATGCATGTCAGGAGATGAACCCAATTCCAAAATCCCTTTATGTTAATATTGCACTGTGCAAGAGCAGACCTATTAATCCAGCTTTAACCGTATAAGTGCCATTATTCCCTTAATAAGATCACTGGCTGTGCAGTATAGGATTAAATACTGGTATCATAACTGGCACTGTCATTTCCTGCGGATGAGAGTGGCTTGCTTCTCAACGCAGTCAGTTCTGTGTTAAGAAGCCTTACATCTTTGCTAGTGCTGTGGTGGAGCACCACTGGCCTGAACGCAGGTAATGGATGTGGGAGAATGATGGGAATAAAAGTGGCACCCGTGGGTTGCTCCTCCTGCTCTCTCAAGTTCATCCTGTCTTTCTGTTTCTCCCCCTTAACCATCCCCTTTCTGATTGCTTCTGTTCCTCTGTGAAGTGGTGCACCATTGTGGTGGTCCTCTTCAGTGCTTTAAGGTAGTGCTCTTTAATCTGGCCCTCTTCCTAATTAGCAGTTGGGGCTTTTTGGGCCATAGTGCATAGTGGGGGAGCCTTGTACTGCTAGGCTGCTGATACTACAGTACCTCTGGCACCAGCCCAGGTGCTACAGATTCTCAGTGAGTAACATTAATCAGGATAATCACCTTTATTTGGCCAAGTATGTTACACACAAAGAATATTTGTTTCCAGCAAAGAACCGAGGCAGCCATCTGCGGTGCCAACTCACACCGGTAACTCTAACTGCAGGCACTGTGATTCAAACCTCCAACCCTCTGGTTGGGAGATGACCGCTCTACCCACTGAACCACAGATGTCACCCAAACACAAGAAAGAGCATTACACTGTGTTCACACTGAGCTGGCACCAACACACAATGGAAACTACAGGGCTGGAAACGTGAATGAACCTGCTCACGTTGAGTCGTCACAACGGTGTACTGATGACCAGCACTCTCACTGGAGAAATCATAATTGCAGTTGCACGGCTGAACATGGAGGCCATTCAGCATTCAGTGTGTGCTGACATGTATTCATTCTCAGTTTAAAACAATACTCGTACAAGGTAAACAGGTGACTAAAATACTTGCTCCATATTTTATCATCATATACAAAAAGTTATGATCAGGTTGGCAGGTGTGCTGAGCCTTATACATGTCAGTTCAGAGGTCAAACCATTGGCCGAAGGTCATGTCTTCTGGTGGGGCTCAATCCTTGAACTCAGCTCCACAATTGCTGCATTAATCCAGCATGCCAAGAAGCTTTAGGAGCTCACTCCCTTTCCTTTACCTCCAATTTTGCCCTCAAACAGAGAGAGAAATATTTAGTTTGAGAACAGAGAGAGGAGGAGTCAAGGGGACAAACAGGGGAATAACTAGAGTGAAGTTAATACAGCACACAATGCTTGTTAATGGGCAGTTTGAAAAGTCTGCAGGTCTTTATTAAAAAGAAAAAAGAAAGAGATGGAGCTCAAGTCACTTTTGAGAAATGCTGCCTCAGCAGTGTGAGATGAGATTTTATCCATGGAGTCTGTTTGCTCAAACAGCGTCTGCCTCTAAACTGGTGCTATGGAAGGAAAACCCTGGCAGATTTACACCCATAATGCCCAGGTGGTGTTAGGTGTATGAAGCTGATCTTCTACTCCTCCCTTTACTCTCTCCCTCTACGTGAACAGACTTCCTCACTGTGAATGGGTGTTCAGAACATGTAATCATCTCTCTGTGTGCATTTGTGTGTGTGTGTGTGTGTGTGTGAGAGAGAGTGGGAATGTGTATGAAACATAACCAGGGAGGGAGAGAGATGCTCATACCTGCTCCCAAATGTTATCCTGCTATCTCACAATAAATCTGCAGCCCCTCCAAAATTTTAACATCAGATTCTTCTCTTCTTTTTTATCTGCAGAGGACGAGAGTTCGGGCACATCTTACCACCGCGACAGGCGCAATGCTATTAGCTCGCAGGCCCCGACCCCCGGTGGCCCCGACAGGAGCGTAAGCGAGGAGCCCTCCACCTCCACAGACGAACGCCCCTCCCTGCTCAAGAAGGAGCTGCATGGTTCCCTGCCCCACCTGGCTGACCACCCTCTGCCGTACCGAGGCACTCTGTTCGCTATGGACCCCCGCAATGGCTACCTAGACTCACACTATCGTAAGTCCACCAGTCACAAAGCGGCTACTACTGTTTATTTGTAAAGTGGAAAACTTGTAGATTTTTATAAAGCTAGCATACTGCACAGCTCCAGCAGGTGACTGTAGCACCCTGAACTCTGAGGCCAAGTGTGTCTCTATACAGAAGGCGAGAAGCAGGGCTGCCAGATGCTTGATTAAATCTGACAGATTAGCCTCTCTTGCACTTGCTCCTGCCTCTACAGACACACACAGACACATTTGTGAACACATGCACGCACACTTATCTTGTTTTGTGCCTGGGAAGTTAGTACAGGGAATGGCCAACGTACCTTCTTAATTCCCTCATTAGGGGCCTGTCTGAACATAGTATTCCACTTTCTCTCATCTACACACACTTCAAAGCCCCAAAGCAGTGCCACGTCAAACCTCACCACCCCCTAGTCTACCTCTCTCCCTCTCTGGGACTCATATACTATGTGTGAGAAAGGCGGCTAGAGAAAGAAAGAGACTAACGGAGATGAGGTTTGAGAGACTGAGGTGAAGGGAGAGCTGTGGTTTGAGTGAGTTACTGAAGATAATTTGAAAAGAGGTGAGATAGACGGTAGTAGTTGGATGAAAGTGAAGCTGTGTGTGTGTGGGGAAAGAGAACAGGAGATAGATGATTGGGGAGTAAGAGGTTGATTGGGAGGTTAATTCAGTGGCCACTGTAGTCAGGACTGAGCCTGCAGACAAGGATTTGATGTGATAGCTTGTTTAGTTTGGTTAAATTGGCACAGAATTGGGGCAGACAGAGTAGGACAGAGTAGGACAGAGTGATTTTAATCCAGTGGTAGTAATGAAAATCCACTGGACCCCAACCTTATACTGTAACTCTTTTTATTCAAACACTTCATTAGCTACAGCTCCCTCGTGCTTGGGTGCTCGGAAGTGGCCAAGGTGCCTCTTTAAGGCAAAGGTTACTTAAATCCAGACAGTGGTGCTGTGGACAGGACCTATGGAGGGCAGAACATTACTGGCCATTATATCTTGACCTAACTCAGCAACACTGCCACTTCTCATTTTATGTTTGTGCGTGGGTATGTGTGAAGGAGCTCTGGTGGTTCCAGACAAATAAAGTCTTGGGTAGGAGCTGGGAGGGGCAAAGGGTCACACTGAGGGTTAGGGTCATGTGGAAAAGTCACAGTCTGAAATGAAGAGTTCAAAAGCAGCAGGAAAAGTCAAAAGGGCTGTAGGGCTTTAAGAGACTTTCTTTGTGCATTGTGCCTCAAGAGGCTGGAAGACTGCAATCAGACGAAGCAGAGCTGAGCGCTGTGATGCTTGCTGGGAAGCTGTAGGAACGATGCACAGATTTTATATTCCTTCTGCATTGCCTCTTCCACATTTGAATGTAAAAATCTTTAGTATTAGCGCTGAAACAATTAGTCAGTCAAACTGGTCTAATAATTGTCTTTAATATGTCAAGCCAAACCTAACAATAGCCAGTTGCCAGTTTTTAAAGGGGGAGTGAGTTCAGAAGCATTTTTTGCTACATTGCTTGAAAATCTCTTTTCATCCCGATGGTAGTGAACACATTAAATGCACCGACAGCATAAAGAAAAAGATCCATCATCTGTGACAACAGCAGGGCTGAAGAAAGCCTGGCCAATAATTTTACTCATCCCAAGTAAAACCATTGGATGGCCTGTAATTTGGAGGAGTGGCTTTGGAAAGAAGTCAGCTGGGTTCTTTCAAAGTTGAGCTTGATAATGAAAATAATTAAATGCAGCCCCAGCATCAGTAGATATATAACCACACAGTACTGTAAAGACAAAATAATGCAAGTTTTGACTTAAAAACACAAAGTCTGAACAGCTTCTGGTGTTTTTCATTGATCTCCTCTGTTGGATTCTGACACTGCTAAGGAAGATGTATGATCTGAGATGAGAGCCTTGCTGTGTAAAATACCTCCTTCCTGGCCCCAGGTGTTGAGGACACAGGGTGTCCCTGAAGGCAGCAGTCCCTTTCTGTCTGATTGAAGCCAGGACCAGAGCTCAATACGAATGAGCCCCAACAGTCTGAGGGTCAGCATAATGAAAGGGTTCGCCCCCAGCTGCTTTGAACCTGAGGCCTGTACTGTCTGTTGCCACTTCTGTCCCACAAGCGGTAAAATGCCACTAGCTCCTGCTCTGGTTTCTGGTTCAATACACATGTGAACACACATTTTACACACACACACATGCACACACAGAGTCCCTCTCTCTATGAGGGCTTTGTCACCTCCTAAATTCATCCCAGGTGTGTGTATACGTGTGTGTGTTTGTGATGGAGAGGGGGTCCTAAGCCTTTGTGCTGTGCTTGCACTGCACGCCATGCCATGCAGCAGACAGCCAGGAAAATCCGATTACTCTTAGCGCCGGTGTGTGTCAGTGCTTAATGTACCTAAATGCAATAGCACCTGCAGCCTCCCCACACCTGGCCGCTGGGTCGCTGGTGTGGTGGCACAGCTCTGGGGGGCGTGGGAGTCGAAAAATGAGAACATAGCAGGAGGGTTTATCTTCAGGGTCTGTGCTCAGGGTAAATCTCTTCCATTCACTCAGAGTTGTGATCTCCCACTTTTCTTATGTCGGTGGCCAAAGACCATGTTTACTCTGGTTTTTACACCCACTTCAGTGCACTAAAGAAACATTGCCCCCTTTGTTAGCATTAGCTAATCTTGGTGATGCCTGAGTCTTATCTGCTTTTCCTGGGCAAACAGTGGATAAGAGTCCATATCCTTCTTACCACAGCACTAATACATGGGGGCCTTTCTGTGGGATAAGAAGAAAGGATTGAGATGAGGATTAATGAGGGAGAAGTTTTTTAAGATCCTAATTGTGTGAATGGGATGTGTAGCGCTGGCATCTGTTTACACTGTGCGCTGATTACGCGGTCAGTGGTCCTGCTGCAACAGTGAGCCCACTTGCTGGTGAAGCATCAATGCTTCCTCTGAGGGGATCGTGTCTAATGTTTTTTAAACACTTGCCATCCATTGCCAGACTAAACACATCCATGGAGGGACTTAATGCATATCCTTTTCAATGGCTTTTTCACAAATTGCACTGAAACACTCAGGAATATTTAGTAAAAGGGAGGCAACAAGAGGAACGTAAATTTGCCAAGACAGTGCTTAAGTATTTTGGTGCTGATGCGACATATGTTTTGTGGCAGTACTGTATAGGTTGTTGATTGGAGCAGACACATTTCCAGGCTGTGATGGCTGCTTATCAGTCCAATAGTTTTTGGGGGAGTTTTTTAAAAACATCTAGCTCAGATCTGGTGGCCACACCAAAAGCCTTACTATCCTGATGTCAGACATCAAACCTGCTAAGCTTAGAGGCAGTGGAGGAATGAATCTCTTGGCTGAAGAATTCCTTCACATGTGTCACAGTAACCCTGCTCTCTGACTAGACCATACTGGCCCTCTGCTCTGGGAGAGCTAGTGGGAACACTGAGCTATGGTGTAAAACCCTTCCTGAGGTTTTGCAGTGTGGTGGGGCAGGTTAAAGGCTAAACTGCTGTGCTGAATTGATCTCAGGTCTACTAGGCTGTAGCACACCAGTCGCTGCCCCGGAGTCGGTCTGTCTCCTTCACTATCAACATGCAACTGACCACTGAACTGAATGAGCTAGCTGTCACCAAACTGAACATGATCTGCACAACAAAGGCCCTTGACTCTCTACAGTTAACTACACTTCTTGGTCATTCAGTTTATATGGACCTTTCCTCATCTAAAGAATGGCAGAGAGCAGAGATAATCTTCTGTGAGTTTTTATAATTGAGACTTGCTGAGCATTTTAACCCTGTGCCGTTGTTTCTAAACACTCATCTAAGTTTTGATTTGTTCCCAAATCCTCGCAGCCTCTTCTAAAGATGGATAATCAAAAATAATCCGGTCCAGTCCAGGAAAAATATAATTTTAATCATTTTCTTGACTCATACAGTTTCTATTCAGTTAAGCAAAGATTTTCACAACAACCTAATATTAAATTTATCACTTGCATTCACACACCGGCATTCATTTACAAAGTGTGAGTACATGGATGACTGTAACAACGTCCACTGAGAAAGTAGTTTCACTACTGAGGTTTAGCAAAAATGGCAACAGGACATGATGCCAACTCATTTTTTTTTTTTGTGAAATTTGAGCATCAGTGCATTGTTGTTGTTATTATTCATTTTGATTAATATTTTCCTGGTCTAGACCAGATTATTTTTTTTATTCTGCATCATTAGTATATGAGAATTTTGGAAATAACTTTGGAATTTGGACAAGTTTTATGAAACAATGGTACGGGGTCGAAATGTTCTGCAAGACTCATTTTCAAAAAGCTCATGAAAGATTATCTCTGTGACTCAAGTGTATGCATTACATGAGAGTCACAAGCCGGGGCTAGGCTGAGAGCAAGAAAGAACAATTTGAAAGTGTGTATCTTTAGGAGAAAAAAGTTACAAACAGCACTCAATTGAAATTGTGCTCAAAGAACAAACTTTCTGGCTTCTTGTTGTTTTAAGTGTGACAAGTACTGGCTGACATACAGGTTCAAACATCCTCCCCCCAAAGAACTGGGGAGTACACAGGAGAGCCTGGGGTGAAAAGACACGTGCCTGTTTCAAGGGTAAGTGTTTGTCTTTGTGATAGTTTCAATATTGGCTTTTTGAGTGTGGTGGCATGGTGTATTTCCCCAGTGGTGTGCCGGCACAGAGAAGCCTGGGGCACACTGCAGGCAGTGGAGAGGGATCCCTTCCATCCACTTTCTTTCATCAAGAAAGAAAAACACAGGCCTATGCTCTGCTGTGGCCTCTTGGTCCAGCACACCAGGGATAATCAGATGATCCCCTTTTATACAGCTTATTAGAGGCATTTCATGCTGTAAGATAGGCCATATTCTGACACGCATGTGCCCCTTTGTAGCGCTGGATGATTTAAGGGGGTTAAGCGGAGTTTGAAGTGCCTTGAGAAGGCACTTTCATACCATCTTAAGGTCGTGGAGTTCTAACCAT